GTATTCCTCCACTAGTTAAGCTGAAAGTTGCAATATGGCATATGTAAAACCAAACAACAAAAAGTGCTCTGCAACATAGATTCAATTATGTTCCATTGCTACGCTAGATAACAGGCAATTCTCATTTTGAAATTGAAATATTCGAACCTATCGCATTTACTGCATATTAACAGACATTTACAGTTTCGCTAGACTCAATTATACGACCCTAACCCATCAAAGAGAATAGCAGTCCTGAGTCCTGTCCGCACTTTGGTGTTAAAGTTTGACCCAAAAGTGCGTTTCGCAGGTACATATGCAGTTTTTAACATCAGACAAAATATTACACTTTGGGGTCATAAAAATTAAATCAATAAGATAAGGATATTAGGATAAGGATGTTTTTCGAAGCATCTTTTATTGTCTAGGAATACATTCACAATTTAAGTACTTTAGTAGTTTCTTATTTGGCCGCAATTTTTAGATATTTCAAGTGGTAAAATTAATAAAACATTTACCTCTTAAGCATGAAACCCATATTTTTATTACTGCTACATCAGAATCTAAATGACACTTAGTAAGATACATATATAAGTATCGACCGTCATCTTGAACTCTCCACCTCAAATATATTTATGTCCAAATCGAAGATCAGTCAGTTGACAGCTTCAGAACTCTGGAACCTAAAGTGCGTTGATATCTAGCATATCAACGCACTTTGGGTCAATTTCTCGAGTTCGATCCCAAAGTGCGTTTGGCCCCAAAGTGCACTGTGAATTTTACAACACTTTGGTTGGGGTCGGACCCCAAAGTGCGTTTGACCTCAAAGTGCGGTGTTACAAAGCCAAAGCTGTCTTGTTTTGGTACCTTACACTGACGTATATATGTTCACATTTATATGTGTTTCATTAGTATGCAAAGATACATGTATGAGAATTATGAAATTCATATTGAACACATCAATAATCATATTATTTGAACAATGAACATAATCCACTGAGGGTACCAATACAGTTTTTATGTGGTGTCTCTTTCAGTATAATTTTCATGCACATTGGTTTCCGGGATCTTTATTATGGAAACACATGGGTTTCATACTTGAGCGAGCTTTTTTCTGAAAACAATCAAGTTTTAAATAATCAAGATATATTCAACAGTCTTTATGATAGAATAGATGACACAGATCTTGATTGTGACGTCACAGAGGTGTTAATTCCTTGAAAACTAATTGCGCAACAGGAGTGGATGGGATATGCATAGAAATGTTCAAAAGTACTATATACATGTATTTAACAATACCATACTTGAATAAATTATTCAACAATATACTACATACGGGTCATTCCCCAGCTACCTGGGCAGAAAGCATTGTTACCCCAGTACACAAGAAAAGAAATAAATCCGATCCGAATAATTACAGGGCAATTTCTGTAGGAAATAGCTTGAGTAAATTTTTTTATGAAAATCCTCGCAAATCGTTTGACCAAGTAGGCCGAATTGAATAACATTATAGATGAATGCCAAGCTGGTTTTCGGAGTAATTATTCCACTATCGATAACATTTTTAATCTTCAATCTATAGTACAAAAATATATTAGTAAATCAAGAGGAAGATTATATGTGTTTTACGTTGACTTTCTTAAGGCCTTTGACAATTGTGTACATTTCAAAATATGGGAAAGTTTAGAAAGGAAGGGAATATCCCCTGAAGGCAGATTTCTAACGTTATTCCGGAATATTTATTCTCAACTCCGGTCATGTGTAAAAGTATCAGGGCCTACGATGAACGAGTTGACTGATTTCTTTGAATGCGCCAAAGGAACAAAACAAGGTGTTTGTGACGTCATCAATCATTTTTAACCTTTACATAAATGACCTTGTGAAATACCTAAATAATAAATGTCAAAATGGAATCACTATCTCACAACATTCAGGAGAGCTGTATCGTTTATTATTTGCTGATGATGTCTCCAGTTTTGCCGACACAGCTATAAATCTCCAAAGACAAATAAATGAAATAAGTAATTATTGTGCTGAAACTAGGATGTGTATAAAAACCTTGATAAATCTAAAGGCCTCAACAGACGGTAGGATTTAGTTGTACAACACTAATTAGAGATAAGATGTACAATTTTCAAAGCTATACAACACTTGCATTCAGACGGTAATTCTATACTGTAAGAATCTTCTGAGGTTTCCCCTAAAAAGGATCCCTTTACATTGATCCTTTTCATACTTTACTCACTTAATACTTTTTTTTCGCCAGGAGTAATGATTGAAACACCTCCATTAAAAAAATATATATATTTTTTTTTAATGTGAAGCCTGACCGAGACTCAAACCTGGGACCCTCGGAATACGGTACTGTGGCTCTACTGACTAAGCTATGTGGCCGCCTACAAACTACCTCCCCTCCCCAAATTCATGTAATAAGAGAACAACTCAATACCGTGACATAATCATTTTCGGAATAATTTGGGATTCGAACACAACACAACTTTGGGTCTCCTGAAGAGTTTTTCAACATCATTTTTACCCCATCTTACTACTATGTTTACCTTTTAGCCCTAATTGTTCTGGAATTTCATTCATTACATCCATTATCAGGAGATAATTTGCTTATCTGTTACTTGTCATTGTGGGAGGTCTGTAAAAATTGTTCGACAAGATTTTCAAAATAGAACATGTCCTATCCCTTACATCTCGACATAAGGTTTCCGAAATCAAGAAATAGTAGCCTTCACACATTAAGATTTGTCTGTACATCTTAGTTTTAATTGGTGTTGTACTTCAAAATCCTACCGTCTGTTGAGGCCTTAAGATTATCGTTTTCAGAAATGGCGGCCCACTAAGACAATATGAGCATTGGATGTATAATGAAAATGAAATAGAAGTTGTCAGTTGTTACAAATACCTAGGAGTATACTTTACTCCAAAACTCTCACGGACTAAAACGAAATATGTACTAGCCATACAGGCGACCAAGACTGCTAATGTTATTTATGCTTATCAGAAACATTTTGGTTATTTTAGTGTTAATGATGTTTTCAAACTATTCGATGCTATGGTAAAACCCATTTTGACTTACTCATCAGAGATTTGGGGATATAACACATGTCGACAGATCGAAAATGTGCATATATATATCATTTTGCAAAAGGATAGCATGTTTAAATCAAAACGTTGCAAGTTTCTTCGCCCTTAGTGAATGCGGACGCCTTCCAATGAGTGTAACATATATGTCTAAATGTGTTATGTACTGGCTGAAATTAACGGAAATGCCACAATATCGGTTACCAAGACAATGCTATATTATGCTTAGAAACTTAGATGAACAAGGACGAATCACATGGGCAACTCATGTTAAACGTATGTTATTTCAATTAGGCCTTGGTTACGCATGGACAGCAAACGGAGTCGGAAATGTTAATACATTCATGCAAGTATTTAGGACACGAGTCTCAGACTGCTGTAGACAAGAGATAATGTCTGACATTAATTCATCACCAAAAGCGATCAGTTACAGAATTTATAAAACATCTATTTCTGACGAATGTTATTTGTCACTGAGTATGCCTTATGCATATAAACGCGCATTAGCAAATGTTAGATGCAGTGGCCATGACTTGAAAATTGAAACAGGAAGGCACTTAAATATTGACAGAGAATTTAGATTTTGTTCATTTTGTCTTAAACGTAATGTGTATGTTGTTGAAAATGAAGTGCATTTTTTTGATTGACTGTCAGCAGTACAACGACCTTAGGCGCAAACACTTAAACTTTTGTAATTGGAATGTGATTTTAACAGTAATTAACGCTTCAATACAAAAATGTCAGAAACAACGGAAGACAATATTTAAAAAAATTGCAATATTTATCTATGAAGCAAATAATTTAAGAAAACTTCAAATAACTGAACAAATTTAAACATGACTGTGTATTGTAATGTTTATAATTTATATTTATGTGCCATGTATTTCAGTTACTCCATTTGTTGAAACGACCGTTTCTTTATGTAACCATACCTTATGTTTAAATATTATATCTAAAGTAATAGTTACCTCTTCAACACTGATATTAATCATATTGGCATTTGTACATTATATGTTTAATTAATATTACCTTATTTCAACTTAAATATTCAATATTACCATTATACTTATTACTTGTAGATATACTCATAATTATGTTTATTATATATATTTATATCTCACTCTTTGTTATATTGAAAATCTGATTGTATTTTGGGCTGAAGGCCTTATATTACGAATAAATACATTGTCATTGTCATTAGTGGTCTTGTTATTTTAGACAAAGTGTATATCATTTATATCATGGATAATTCTTTTGTTTTATAATCTGTTCGCTAGAGAACTTACGAAATTTTAAAAGCAGTGTTAACTATTGTTAAGTGTTTAATGGGTGGAAGCACGGATCACAGGTCTGTCTCAAAAATCCGAGAAATTTAACCGGAACTTTGTTTTCGAAACTCCTTTACATTATATAGGACATTAAAGATATCGTCTTATATGATTTTAAATAAGATGCATAAATTACTGAGAAATGACACGATTTAGTTTGTGTGTCGTCAATAAAAATAGTACAAAAATAAGTACGATTACATAAAAAATCACATGCATCAGCTGTACACTTTCTGACCAATTTTAAATTTCTGGCTTTGTTCCAACACATTTTATTTACATTTTCTTCAAATGGAAAGAGAGTATACAAATAATTGATTGTGCAACTGTCTGTAGTTTCACGAGTAAACACAAGGGGAACTGTTTCGCATTTGGACAAAACGCATCGGTGTAAGAGCTATTGCATTGCACTTTCATAAAACATTTGAATTTAGAAACTAGGCAACAAGTTCGTTTTGAAGAAATTTACCTGTCAAAGATTTGTAATTTTCTTTTGATATGGTTTGGATTATGTAAAACGTAACAGATGATATACAGCAAAATGTAGATGATATAGGACATGACAAAACGATGAAGAAAATAACATAGACGGTGTAAAGCATGCCAGAGATAAGGTGAATCATAACAGAGATGATTAAGAATGTAACAGACACAACATTGATTGGTGAAGGATATAACACATATGTTGTAGGAGATATCACAGATAATGTAGGACAAATAACTGATGACATATGACATAACACATGTGATGTTGTACATAAAACATGTGATCATATGATAGACATAACACAGATGATGAGGGACATAACACAAATGGTGTCGGACAAAACATAGGTGAGATAGGACATAAGACATATATGTAGAACAAAACATACATGATAAAGAAAATAGCACAGGTGACGTAGAGGACATAACATAGATGATGTAGAACATAACACAGGTGATGTAGGACATAACAGAGGTGATGTAGGACATTACATACATGATAAAGGACATAACACAGGTGACGTAGAGGACATAACAAAGATGATGTAGAACATAACAGAGGTGATGTAGGACATAACAGAGGTGATGTAGGACATAGCATAGGTGATGAAGTACATAACACAGGTGATGTAGGATATAACACAGGTGATGTAGGACATAACATAGGTGATTTAGGATATAACACAGGTGATGTAGGACATAACAGAGGTGATGTAGGACATAACACAGGTGATGTAGGATATAACACAGGTGATGTAGGATAAAACACAGGTGATGTAGGACATAACAGAGGTGATGTAGGACATAACATAGGTGATGTAGGACATAACACAGATGATGTAGGATATAACACAGAAGATGTAGGACATAACACAGATGACGTTGGACATAAGACAGATGATGTATGATATAACACAGGTGATGTAGGACATAACACAGGTGACATAGGACATAACACAGGTGATGTAGGACATAACACAGGTGATGTAGGACATAACACAGATGATGTATGATATAACACAGGTGATGTAGGACATAACACAGGTGACATAGGACATAACACAGGTGATGTAGGACATAACACAGGTGATGTAGGACATAACACAGATGATTGTATGATATAACACAGGTGATGTAGGACATAAAACACAGGTGACACAGGACATAACACAGGTGATGTAGGACTATAACACATTGATGTATGATATAACACAGGTGATGTAGGACGAAACATAGATGATGGACATAACACAGATGATGTATGACATAACACAGGTGATGTAGGACATAACACAGGTGACAAAGGACATAACACAGGTGATGTAGGACATAACACAGGTGATGTAGGACATAACATAGGTGATGTAGGATATAACACAGGTGATGTAGGACATAAACACAGGTGATGTAGGATAAAACACAGGTGATGTAGGACATAACACAGGTGACATAGGACCTAACACAGGTGATGTAGGACATAACAACATTGATGTATGACATAACACAGGTGATGTAGGACATAACACAGGTGATGTAGGACATAACACAGGTGATGTAGGACATAACACAGATGATGTATGATATAACATAGGTGATGTAGGACATAACACATGTGACATAGGACATAACACAGGTGATGTAGGACATAACACAGGTGATGTATGATATAACATAGGTGAGGTAGGACCATAACACAGGTGACATAGGACATAACACAGGTGATGTAGGACATAACACAGGTGATGTAGGACATAACACAGATGATGTATGATATAACACAGGTGATGTAGGACATAACACAGGTGACATAGGACATAACACAGGTGATGTAGGACATAACACATTGATGTATGACATAACACAGGTGATGTAGGACATAACACATTGATGTATGACATAACACAGGTGATGTAGGACATAACACAGGTGATGTAGGACATAACACAGATGATGTATGATATAACATAGGTGATGTAGGACATAACACAGGTGACATAGGACATAACACAGGTGATGTAGGACATAACACAGGTGATGTAGGACATAACACAGATGATGTATGATATAACACAGGTGATGTAGGACATAACACAGGTGACATAGGACATAACACAGGTGATGTAGGACATAAACACAGGTGATGTAGGACATAACACAGATGATGTATGATATAACACAGGTGATGGTAGGACATAACACACAGGTGACATAGGACATAACATAGGTGATGTAGGACATAACACATTGATGTATGATATAACACAGGTGATGTAGGACAAAACATAGATGATGGACATAACACATTGATGTATGACATAACACAGGTGATGTAGGACATAACACAGGTGACATAAGACATAACACAGGTGATGTAGGACATAACACAGGTGATGTAGGACATAACATAGGTGATGTAGGATATAACACAGGTGATGTAGGACATAACAGAGGTGATGTAGGATATAACACAGGTGATGTAGAACATAACAGAGGTGGTGTAGGACATAACACAGGTGATGTAGGACATAACACAGATGATGTAGGACATAACACAGAAGATGTAGGACATAACACAGATGACGTTGGACATAAGACAGATGATGTATGATATAACATAGGTGATGTAGGACATAACACAGGTGATGTAGGACATAACACAGGTGATGTAGGACATAACACAGATGATGTATGATATAACACAGGTGATGTAGGACATAACACAGGTGACATAGGACATAACAGAGGTGATGTAGGACATAACACAGGTGATGTAGGACATAACACAGAGGATGTATGATATAACACAGGTGATGTAGGACATAACACAGGTGACATAGGACATAACTAGGGCTGTGCATTGCCATTTTTTTCTGTCACGATACATATCACGATATTTGTTTTTAAAAACGATGCGATTCACGATATGTATTGCATACTTTGAAGAAATGCGATGCATATTGCGATTCTTATGTTGCGATGCGATACGTATCACGATACTGACTTTTAGACTTAGTATATAAAAATTGGCTATTTGTTTACAGAATAATTACGAATATAATATAAAACTATTACAATAACAAAAAAATAAACTCTTTTAACTTGTTGTTATAACTTGGTTTCCAGTTTTGATCTTTTAACAATTTACTTTTCTGATTACTTGAAATTAAAGGTATTTTACTATTTTTAATTAAACCATAGAAGCAAATTGATATCTACTAGCTATTCTAACACTAAAGTCCACTACTGTAAATATGGCAGTTTAACAATTTCAGTCTTACAATACACCGCTAAAGATTTTTCTTGTGAAAAAAATAGTAACAAGTGATCTACAATTAGGTCAACAACTGTGAAAATGACAGTTTATAAGTTTCAGTCTCAGTTTTCTCGAAAGATTTGTGCTCAACCCAAGAGTATTTTATTTTGATTTTGCAAACACTCCACGTCCGGTCTTCCACATTATACAACACTGTCTCATGGTTCCCCAAAAACTACAATTTTCACAAAACTCGTGACTTATATGACCAGGGAGGATTGACTGTAATTTCCCCGTCTACATATTTTGCAGTTGTTTGCTTTGTTGTTTTTACGGGAAAATGATGTCAACGGAAAAGAAAGTATAAATACGTGACGAATATCACATGGGGATGTTGTCATCATCACTATTTTAATCCGACATTTAAGTGCTACAAAATAAAATTCATGTTTGTTGGTTGTTTTTTCTTGAAATTACACAGATCTCTAATTATGTTTTTATTATAAACAAGTTCAAAGAACACCAGCCCATTTACATGGAATTGATTAAACTTGGTTAGTAACCGTTAAATGATTGCGGACATGGGGAAACGAGATGACAACGATGGTACGATAATAGTCGCGCTTGTTTATTGTTTTCATCCGAGCTATTTTTCTTTCTTCAGTCTTTCAAAAAATACGTTTGTCCTTATATTCCTGGAAGATATTGTTAGTGTATTGCGATACCTTCCCGCTGAATCGATACATCGGGAGGTGAAATATGTATTGCATCGCAATATATTGGAATTTGTAATTTCATTACGATGCATACATCGGGGACAAGACAGATCGCGATGCATCGATGAATCGTTACACCTCTAGACATAACACAGGTGATGTAGGACATAACACATTGATGTATGACATAACACAGGTGATGTAGGACATAACACAGGTGATGTAGGACATAACACAGATGATGTATGATATAACATAGGTGATGTAGGACATAACACAGGTGACATAGGACATAACACAGGTGATGTAGGACATAACACAGGTGATGTAGGACATAACACAGATGATGTATGATATAACACAGGTGATGTAGGACATAACACAGGTGACATAGGACATAACACAGGTGATGTAGGACATAACACAGGTGATGTAGGACATAACACAGATGATGTATGATATAACACAGGTGATGTAGGACATAACACAGGTGACATAGGACATAACACAGGTGATGTAGGACATAACACATTGATGTATGACATAACACAGGTGACGTAGAGGACATAACACAGATGATGTAGGACATTACACAGATGATGCAAGATTTCTGATGTTTGATACAATGCAGATAATTGTCCACATAATAAAAGTGATAAAAGAAATACCATAAATGATGTTGTATGTTGCATATGACGTAGAAAATCATCTATGTTAAAGTCTGTTTTCTTTTTCATGGTCATATTACACATTTCATGTCCTATCTTTGTGGTCAATCCACCTAACTGGCTTTCTGGGATTAAAACTAACCAGTGATTACTTATCACTATTTTATCTATGACCGACTACTAATCCTACAAGATTTTTTTAAATAGGGGTGATCACAAATGATTTAAACCAATTATCACTGACAAATTACATGTGCACCTCACCCAAGGGTCAAATAAGTGACCTCTGGATTGCAAATCTGATGTTTTCCCTATTGAGTTTAGTGGAAGGACATGCAAATGATAAAGGACAAATTTTAATGTTTAAGGACAAGACTTATATATAGATAAACACAGAGAACAGATACAGAACAACACCATTCCTTAATCTAAAACCTTCAATTTATTCAACAAATAGAAAAAATTTATCACATGACATCAATGAATAATGATAATACAATGAATCAATAAAATTTGTAAATATAGAATTTTATAATTGAACACTTTTATCTTTGCTCCTATAACATTTTACTCCTATACCTCTACTTAGATGAAAAATTTATACTAGAGTTTTGATCAATTTTCAAATATTAATAAGTAAAATCATGCTCATATGCTTCTGCCTACCTTAAATAAAATATTTTTTGTTTGTTTCAGTTTCTTTACTTGTTATAGGGTTTGTAAGCGAACAGCATGGATCCTGATCAGACTGCGCGGATGCGCAGGCTGGTCTGGATCCATGCTGGTCGCAAACCCATTATGTTGGTTTTGTCGTGACGCGGCTCATATTTTCGTCAAGAAAGTCAGCTGTTGTATGTGCTTTTCTATCAATATCAGAAATCACTCTCCGCTTTATCAAAATCCACTTTCTGCTAGGAGTTTTACCTGAAAGTATAAAATAAAATACATGTACATAAAGTCTTTAATGCTTTTATTTTTCTCGGAATACACCTACTGTTATATTTGCGTGTTTTCCCAATTAATAATTTATAACCAGCATGTGCTCTTTGATCCTGCTACAGTTATATTGATTTTTATATGATAAACACTACATTTGTTAACATGTGATATTTGAACAAGTCAAAAAGACAGTATACCAGAGTGTCCAAACATATTTTCAGTGCATACTGCAAAAACATTATTATTCATGAGGCACTTATAGAGTGTCCATGTTTTTTGTTGATAGGTCTATCAATGAATTTATGATGCAACAAAAGCATATTTAGTCTGATGTTATTTAATACTTGTTTTGAATATAAGAACCCATGAAAAAGTGTAACCAAGTGCTGTTTAAGGTTTTTGATATTTTTCCAAGAAAGGTAACTCTGTCAACCTTGTTTGATTTTAATCTTAACTCTTTGTGTCATTATGTCCCCTTAACCACATTTGCTATTTGCTCATCTGAAGCATTTTGTTGCTAAATAAAATCTTTTAATTATGGATATATAACAGGCCTTTTGATTGGTCCTTGTTAGGTTAAAGGTTAATTTCATGCTTGACAGGTTCCATAGTATTTTGTATTACTACGCCAATTCTTATATATAGTCGTTTTTGGCGCTATCATTGTTAGCAGTGCTTAATTGTCAACATGGGTTTTGAGTAGAACTGCCCAAGTACATACATAGGTTTTGAGTAGAACTGCCAAAGCACATAAATGGGTTTTGAGTAGAACTGCCAAAGCACATACATTGGTTTTGAGTAGAACTGCCAAAGCACATACATAGGTTTTGAGTAGAACTGCCAAAGCACGTACATGGATTTTGAGTAGAACTGCCAAAGCACAAAAATCAAGATGTCACAGTAAAAAAACTTTCCACCAGTTCGGGGAGAAAATGTGTAAGCAGCCAGAGCCCCCAGTCCGTAGAGCTGCAGAAAGAAAGTCAGAAGGTTCTGGGTTTAATTATAAGCAAAGCTGCACATTTTTCTCACTCAGTGACATTCTAAGGCATATATGAAGGCTTCTAAATAGATCATGCCTGATGTTAACTAAAACTGTTTTAAATATAACTCACAAGAGAAAGTAGGTATAACAATGATAAGTATATAGGAAAACATTCATTACGTACTTTTTCAATTTGTTGTTCTACAGACGTTAATGAATCTTGCACTAACACCAATCTATTCTTTTCTTGTTTAACTTCTATTTCATGTGTGTAGCAATTCTTCTCATATTCTGTCTTGTGCTCAGTTAATTGCTTTAGCTTCATTTGAAGCTCTTCAATCTCCAATTCTATTTCCTCCTCTTTCTTCTGTATGCTGGCCACCTGGTGCTTGTCTTGATTCAGTTTCCGTGTAAGTTTCTGAACATTTCTGGAAATATTTTCAGATTCTTCCCGCAAAATCTCTTGCCTAGTCATCAAATTCTGGTACTCTTCCTGGTAATTTTTTCTATGAACTGAACTTGAAACTGAAAAATGCAACACATCTACAAAAGCTTAACAAAACAGTATGAATAAAATGGAATACAGTATGGAAAAGAGTTGCGTCAAGGCAAACAAGGGCTTTCACACAGACAAATCTCTTGAGAATTGCAAGTACTAATAATACAACAACACCAGTCATTAAGTGTATCAAGGGGAACAAGTCAGTAAAAATCAATGCTAGAGTTATGTGTCTTAGTTAGACAACTACAATTATGATGCTGATGTTGTTTGCAATAGTTCATGTGAATTGAATTACCATGCAATATTTTGACAAAGTGCAAGCCAATCTAAGGGTTTGTTAAGTACAAAAGATTTATCTGTAGAGCTAAAAAAATAAATGACAAATTGTAAAAAGATCATTCCTATAAATTATTCACAACAATGCTATCTCAGCTGCACATTTAAAGAGCTATAGGTGGCAATGGTTAGAGCATATCCTCTCCTCTATTTACTTTATATGAAAACAAAGAATGCCACTGTGCTAACAATTGCAAGACTACGATTACCGGGTATGACACAATGCAAATATGACTGATGAAATCAAGCTCATTTGACACACAAAATTTGCATGTCACATGTTAAAAGCTTAAAAAAGGCCATGATTGTTTAGAGAACATTTTATCATAAAGTGCATTAAGCTATATATCTGCTGCTAAAATTATTATTTTTATTGTTAGTATTTTTTTAAAAAAAGAATATTTCTAAAATGCTTGTAAGAATTGTATTGTAACATATTGCTTTAAATGCACAAAATTATTGCTAAATGGATAAAATGATACTTAAAATGACTGCATATTATTTTGTTCTGAAACAGAGACATTTTATGTAACAGATCTTTCAAGAATATACCAAAATATTATGGAAACAATGTTATTTTACTGTTGAAAAATTTCATAGAATTATTTACAAGATATAGTTTATACCTTTTAGCAATTTCAGTGGAATGTAAAATTTTTGTCTGATCTCTTACACAAGATACAAATAAAAAGCCTCCAAAGTTCCATTCTATTATAACCCCTTGTTTTCTACTAAATTTGAAAATGGTAAAGGCTAAAGCAGGTACAGTTCAAACTTAAATTGCAAATTTAACATCAAAATAATGATTTATAAACTATAAATATGCCCATACAACTCCCCTAGGTTTACAAACAGGTTTAACAAGTTTCCCTCACTAGAATATGATAATTATTATTTGTTTGTTTGTTTGATTCAGTTTTAAGTCACATGAACACAGTTTAACTGGTGGAGGAAGACCTCAGGTGCCTTTCCGTGCATTATTTCAGGCATGAACAGGCACCCGAGTAGAAACACTGACATTTCCTATAGCTATCTGGATAGCCTCCTCACATGAAATATTCCAAAGTCCCTGTCGGGATTTAAGCCCATAGGAGTGAGGGGCAAGAAGTTTGCCCTTAACCACTCGGCCACGGCCACCCCACAATTATTATGAAATGGGAAAGAAGATGAAGAGATTTTAATGAGAGTTCCAAATCCTACATTTTATGATAAAGATTTTGATAATTGGCTCACAGTTACACAGGGTTAAAGACAAAATGAATTATCATAACTCTGATATAGCTGAAGCACAAGCTAAAGTTCAATCTGAATATTTTAACTTGAAATTGAAACATCTTAGCATGTAAAATTCCAAATAATCCGAAACAGTCAAATTATAGAAGAATACAAAATGATAAATACGGATAATAATAGATATATTTAAATGATTTTCTTTCTTTTACAAACCTGTTGATTTTCTAGTTGTCTGTCTATGTGTCTGTTTGGTATGAAAGTTGGTAATTATTTGTTGCAGCATAATATTCAGCGTGCTGGACTGAACAGCACAGCCACATATTGCACAAAATTTAGTCTTCTTACTGCATGTGCTACATAATGTATGACCACAGGGTATTAATAACATCGGGCTTGCATTTGGTGGCATCTACAATGAAATATAAATATAACTGGTAAGACATCTTAGTTGTTGTTAAAAATTATAAAAAAAAAATCATTTTTGAAGCTGGTATCAAATAAATTGGAGTAAATGTGCTTTTGTCTTGCATTTATTTTTGTGATATGTGAATAACGGTTTTCTATTTACAATAATATAAATACTGTTTTTATGATGGGAATGAGAAATACATTTTTACCACAAAAAGAGAAGAAATAACATAAACTTGGCTAATATATGTACATGTGTTTTTGTAATATGTACGCATATGTTTAGCATTCTTGTTAAGATATGACAAAGAAAGACATTTAACCAGTAATATGTTGACCTGTTCAATTACATTTCTTTACTATATACATTACCATTAGTTTTTCACAAGTTGGACACACATGACTGGACAATTCTTGTTCAGCTGGTTTATCCACGGAGGTTTCATAAGTGTAATCTATATGAGAGTTTCTCTTGTAATCACTGTTTGTTTGTGCCAGATCACCTTTCACTCTTGCTATAAAACAGGAGAAAAATAATAAATAAATCACTGGTCATTCTGCCAATATGTTGCCTCTATAAAGTTTATACTTGTACTTGCTATGAAAGAAATAATATATCATCATCAGTTATTTAATTACTAAATAAAATCACTGAGTCAAGTTCAGATGCAAGGAATTATATAATACTGCACATCCAATGACAAAGAGTGATTTCACATGTATAATTTAAGTGATAAAAATCACTGCTAGGGATGTATTATTCTGATTCTAACACAACATCAACAAATAAATGCTGCTATATCTGATTTCAAGCAATATTGTGCCTTATTAGTTTCCAAATTAATATTGGCATATCACATTTTTAATGGTTATATCACATGTGACATGTATAAAAATAGATGATTTAGGATATATGTACTTTCTATCGTTGTAATGTATATGCATATTCTTTTGTGTAAATAGAATACTGTTTAAAATACACTAAGAGCAATGATTAATCACTTTCGGTTTCAGCAGTTTCAGCTTAATGTGATGCATAAAATAATGCATTGATTGGCGCCGAATTAGTAAAGTTGCCTGAACACCGTTTGTTGGTGTGACTTTAAACAGAGCCAAAAAATTAGACCTTGCATATAATGACAATGAGAGTTAAATGGTAAAGAAATTGACTGTACAGCCACGTGAAGGTATTGATTATTTGATAATTAAAACACTACCTATTATATCATCAGCCCTTGAATCAAAGTCATCAGGTGATAGCAACTGTGCTGCAGTAATCTCCCCTGTTTCATCATCACTATTCCAACTGGGATCAGGGGTAGCAAACTCTGGTGACCTTGTACTTGGAACACGTAATACATTAACACTGGCCGAACCTTTATGGTCCCTGTATGGCTGGTCATTGTAAAGATTGTCAGAGTATTTATCACTATTATATAGATTGCTGTTATGGTTCATATCTCTGGGTGGGGTGTCATACACCTAAAATTATAAACTTCATTATTTATTGATGTTAAAGCAGTTGAATTTCTTAAGACATCAAGTCAAATTAGATATGTATTATTATATATTTTTATATTATGCATATACATATTAAAAAGAATATGGTAAGTGAAACACACGAAACAAAGTGGGTCAGGTTTCTATAATTTTATTTAAGACCTACCTTTTGGCTATTCAATAGCCTTCATCAGGGCATATACATGTATGAGCAGCACCATGACAAAACCAACATAGTGGGTTTGCGACCAGCATGAATCCAGACCAGCCTGCGCATCCACGCAGTCTGATCAGGATCCATGCTGTTCGCTTACAAACCCTATAACAAGTAGAGAAACTGATAGCGAACAGCATGGATCCTGATCAGACTGCACTGATGCGCAGGCTGGTCTGGATCCATGCTGGTAGCAAACCCATTATGTTGGTTTTGTCATGACGCGGCTCATATGTAGAATTATTAAGGAATTGGGGAGAAAATGTGTCAGTGGTTGGTTAGCTCAGCCAGCAGGGCTACAAAACTAAGGTCCTAGGTTTAAGTCCTTCAGATCAGCACATTATGCTAAATATATGTACATTTATATACATGTACTGTTGTAAAATAGAAAATGGATATTTTTGACAATTTAAAACAATAGGTAATACTTTAAGGCCTATATTTGAACAAATTGTTCGCATATGATATAATTATTAATTTTGTTTTGTTTTTTATCACTATGGCATTTAATTCAAAAGTAAAATGCAAAATTCTATAATTAATATTATAGTTCCATATCCAACATTTATTTTGTATAATTCAAATCTTATATGATGCATTATTGGTTTGATCCTGTGAAATATTTAAATTGCATCTCAAGAAAATAACTGAATTCAACTTGTGTAAAAATTGGGTTACATGAGTAAAAAAATGGTTTGCATGAACATTATTATTTAACAATGAAAAATATTTATTTGATAATTTGAATCTTGGGATGGAACATAAGATTTTAACACTGGATTATCATTGGGTATGAGTTTACAACATAGAGAGTGAGAAATAAATTGCAATTTATACCTCAATGTTTCCTCCTGACTCTTTTGCCTTCAACCAATTTTGAAACTTTGCCTTTGATTTGTTTGATGACATCAAGTTTTTGACCAGTGATTGTGTATCAGTTTCTGATGGTTTCTCATGGTACGAAGCACTTTGCGATTTAGTTGTTACTTTTTGTTGAGTCCCTGCTGTAAAAAAGACCACAGATATTGATTACCACAATAAAATGTAATTTTCATTTACATTTTAAATGTAAAAGACATTTGAAGGATAAGTGTGTAAGCATTTGGTTATTCAGGTCATTAAAGAAATATTTAAGTCTGACAAAAGCTTAAGTCTCCTACTTTAAAATTCAAGTAAAATATATACATATGAGTTCTGAAGTAACTTCTAAAATGTTTAAAAACCAAGGAATTGTCCTTATAAAACTTTATTTCAAAAGTGAAACCATTCAATATTGTAGTAATATCTTTTTTTATTTATATAAATTAAATAAACTTCATGTAAAACTCTCATTAGAATTTCCCTTGATGTTTTAAATATGCAATGCTATATGAAATTTCCCTTGATGTTTTAAATATGCAATGCTATGTGAAAATATATTAAGTATAAAATAAATACCGTATATTGTTTAATAAAATGACCATCCCTAATTAATGCTCACACCTTGAGTTATTGAACCACTCATGCACATTGTAGAAGTTTATTGTAAATCCAAGGAAATAAGGGGCGATTTACTAATGGATATACAAAAATCCAGTTACTACCTGATTTAGCAATGCTGGAAGTTTCTCTGCCTGGACTGTTTCCATGACTTTCTGCTCTCTGTTTCATCCAGTTTTGCTGACGTTGTTTGATTTCTTTAACCTTTAAGATACAGAAGATATAGTAATATATATATATGGGATCATGGATGTATCATGTATGTCATGAGGGTAGTTACTGACATGTTAAATGTATTGTTTGTACATATGTCTTATGTATTGTGTCTTTATATGTCCCCTGTACTTTTGTCAATTTGTTTTATAGTATGTGTATTTCATATAATAATAAATCATCGTATCATTTGCATATAAATTTTTCATGTTGCTTCATCCTATTCATTTATTGCAACAAGTAACTCTTATAATGTCATTCTATAATCCCTAACAACTAATTTCTTCTAGACATATGTGTTTAATTTTTGAGGCATGGAGGAGCACATGACCTGTTTTGGTACATGGAGTAGCATGTGATCTGTAAACCATACTTGATTGGTTAATCAACCTTGTAAATTTATTTAGAATAAATTAACAAACTCTATACTTCGTGCAGATATGGTACATGTAGTTTTAAATGAGAATATGAAAGAATACTCGAGTGCAATTAAAACATTAAAAAAATTAAATGTAAACATGAAAATAGTATTGTAGTCTGAGTATCATCAAAACGTTTGCAAGGGAAATCTTGTACAGTATCTGTATCTGGATGATCCAGGTGTCCTACTAATGGACACTTTCTGGTTTCCTGTCTTTAATGGTCACCAGTCTCCAAAGACTTTCTTCTATTGATCGATTAAATTGTCAACTATATTCTAGATACAAGCATTTTTTTCCCAAACAATTTTGAAAACAGTCAAATTAGATATCATTAAGTTATTAAAACTTTCCCAGGCAGAAAACCTTTTAAACTTGTTTACCTTTGGCATGTCCAATCATTTCTATCATATCTTAATATTCCTTGATTATGTTTACATTATATCAATAGTCAGTGATTTTCCTACTTATATAACAGACTCCGAAAAAAGACCTCTTCCCAATTGAAATTTTCTTTAAAATCATGAAGTTTTCCCAAAAATCTGAACTTAAACCAGTTTTTTTACTTCCCAAATCAGCAATTTTAGCGATAATTTTTCCCAAAATCAAGAGGCTAAGGCCTCTTCCCAATAAAGTTAGAAAAAACACTGATAGTATGTCTATGTCTGTTGCGGTTAAGCAAATGTCAGAGCACCTTTACCAAGATTAAATAGCCACGCTTGAGATGCATAGATCATTTGCTAAGAATGCCCAGTGAGAAGATTTCTAAAACAACATTACACTAGACACCATCAGGAAAAAGGAAGCCAGGAAGACTTCGGACAACCTAGCGGCACATGGGGACAAGCTAAGCATCTGGCAAAGGACAGGGAAAATGATGAAAGCTTTTTGATGCCTTATGGGATGAAGACGTAAGTAATGCTTACGTCCCTGCGAGGGGTTTGACATTATAGTGGATTCCACATGTCCCTGCGAGAGGTTTGACATTATAGTGGATTCCACATGTCCCTGCGAGGGGTTTGACATTATAGTGGATTCCACATGTCCCCTGCGAGGGTTTGACATTATTAGTGGATTCCACATGTCCCTAGCGAGGGTTTGACATTAATAGTGGATTCCACATGTCCCTGCGAGGGTTTTGACATTATAGTGGATTCCACATGTCCCTGCGAGGGGTTTCATGACATTATAGTGGATTCCACATGTCCCTGCGAGAGGTTGACATTATAGTGGATTCCACATGTCCCTGCGAGGGTTTGACATTATAGTGGATTCCACATGTCCCTGCGAGAGGTTTGACATTTATATGTGATTCCACATGTCCCTGCGAGAGGTTTGACATTATAGTTGGATTCCACATGTCCCTGCGAGGGGTTTGACATTATAGTGGATTCCACATGTCCCTGCGAGGGGTTTGACATTATAGTGGATTCCACATGTCCCTGCGAGAGGTTTGACATTATGCTTATAGGATTCCACTGGAAGAGAGATATTAGTGCCTTTGGAAATAAACTTATGTGTGTTAAAAGAAAATGTTAAAAAAATACATTTTATGTTTAAAATCAGACATTTCTTTTGTTCCAATGTTTGCAAAGCTGCGTGCTGGGATTCCTAAGGCTATGCCTGAAAAATTAGAATCCCGGACAATCCCCCTCCCGGACGATTCCCCTTCCATATTATTTTCACAACCCGGACATTTCCCCTCTCGTTATTTTGATAGGGTGGACTTTTCCCCTCCCATTAATTTTATATGACGGACAATTCCCCTCCCGTTATTTTGGCAGAGCGGACAATTCCCCTCCCGTCTTTTCACAGAGCAGAACGTGACATTATACGACCCTTAACCATAGCCGCCATTGCGTATAAAAAATCTATAACCATTCTTATTAAAGATGACAATTTTTACTCTTAACAACAACTGTTAAAGATCGGAACTTTTTAGAATCATTATTTCACAAAGGTGACATTAAACCGCCTTTAATCATTGCCACCGCTGCTAAAGATGAACAAACTGTCAATAAAAAATCTTTAATCAATGCTGCCCTTAATTAAATGTGTCCTTGATTGTAAAACCAATAATTTACAATTATTTTACCGCTGCAGAAATGTATTGACGAAATAAAGATTATTTTAACAAAAAAATGCGTTTTTATTTTTATATTCATGTCAATATAGACAAGCAAAATGTATTTAAAGTCCATTAAAAATACCTTTAAAATAAACAATATTATAACATATATATGTTCAACAGCCACGGGAGGGAAATTGTCCGCTCTGACAACAGCGGGAGGGGAATTGTCCGCTCTGCTAAAATAACGGGAGGGGAATTGTCCGCCCTGTAAAATTAAGGGGAGTGGAATTGTCCGCCGTAAAAAAAATAACGGGAGGGGAAATGTCCGAGTTGTGAAAAAACATTCAAATTTACTGGGAGGGGAATCGTCCGGAAGGGGAATTGTCCGGATATCGAAAAATTATATCCGAAATTTTATACTATCCGAAACCATTAAGTATGTACAAACCTTTTCTCTTATTTCTTGTTTTTTATTCATCGTATTCAGCTATTTACTTTGAGGAAATCGTCTTTGATTGTAACTTTATATTATTCGGCAATTTTCGTAAAAAAACTGGATGTATAAACCGACTAAGCTCTAAATTTAAGAATAAAATATATGTCACCAATGTAAATAAAAGGTCGACAACTCTGTAGGCATCCAGATGACTAGAAACACGAAAAAAGAGCTTTACACGAAAAGAATGTAGCATTTGATATCGGGGTATAATTATGTAGTGCCGTTCATATGGAACGACAAATTCTATATTGTAAGTTTATTCTATACAGAAAAAAAAACTTTAATAGAAGAAATATCAATAAAGTTAATAACCTAAATCATTATCTAAATATCTAATTTCTAAAACAATAGAAAAGTGTGAGTTGGAGTGGAGTTGACCTGCAAGTGTCAAAAAAAAGGAAACATCCTACCCCAAACCATTACTACCTTCATGGAGTCCTATCAGAATCGGTTACTTCAGCTAAATACCTAGACATGGATATATCAGAAACCCTTAAATTGGATGCCCACATCAACAGGACATCCAAGAAAACAATCCAAACCTTGTGATTCCTAGGCGGTTCTTAACGTAAAGATTAAATCCCAATCCAATAAGTCAGTTGTTTACCAGACGTTAGTCAGACCACAGCTTAAATATGGCTCTGAAGTATGACCCCCCCCCCCCCCCCCACACACACACCAGCACACACACACACACACACACACACGCACACACGCACGCACGCACACACACACACACACACCAAAGAAGAGCAGCTCGGTTGATCAAGCTAGATTATGGTCAGACCTCTAGCGTCACGGAATATTAAGCTTCACACATAAAGCTTCGAAAACTCAAACGCAGACTACAGATGCTAGGTTATCCCTGTTCTACAAGATTCACCACGGTCTAGTTGCTATCCCTAAAAAAAAATATTTAATCCACACACTCTTCCGAACATATCTATATTTGTATTTGTGTCAAGAATATTATGAAGTTGAAAATTTTAAGTTTAAATGACTTTTGAAACATTGTTATATATATATATATATATATATCTTAATTATACCTTAAATTTGACACAGACACTGATTGAAGGCTCACACCTCTTTAATAAAATACGATAAATTGAGCAAAATAGAAAATGGATGAGATCATTTAATTTCTTCCAAGGAACATAAACGAAACTTCAAAATATATATTAGAATACAATCCGCCCATCGGGACCAAGTTTGATAGCCAGCAACCTGTATCTACTTAATTATGAGAGTTTAAATGTGTCACAGGACATATCTGTCTGCATCTGACCCAACTTCTAAAATAAGCCATTTAGACTCGGAGTACATAAAAACTTTAATATCAGCTCAGGTATTTGACTTTATTATCGTAAACAACATATTTATCCATTTTATTCAAAAGATTGTTTTTCCTTTTTTTATTCGAAAATAAAGGTTAACAACATTAAATTACTTTAAACCTTATCAAGTCATTGGAACTCAACTATAAGCTCTATTAATTACTAAACCAAAATGGTTGTTTATTTTTAATAAAGTGAACATAGTTGTTTAGCTTGCACGCAGTCTGCGTATAAAACCTCAAAATTAGTGTGAAATTTCTATTAAATTTAACTGCTTCAATAGATAAAAGAGTTGCAATGAAGACATCGCATTAATATTTTTATAAACCGTTCGAAATAGATGTTTTGTTATTTAAATAATTAAATATAATCTATACTATCAACAAAAGTTCTTAATTTTCAAGTTTAATATCCGACAGAAAATCTAATAAACGAAAGGTAAACGGCTGATTATTCATTGACTTTAAAGGATTTTAACCTTACCTTATTAGTGATTTTATTTTGCATTTGAGCAACATGTGTTTATTTTTTTTAAAATGAAATATTTACTTAAATCACAGAAGCGTTCAAAAAACTCAAGCAAAATGCATACAAAGTCAGTATTGAAAGTCATTGTTTTGAAAAGAAAAGAGTTCAGTATTGTTCAGTACTTGTACTTTTAAGTGGTTGTAAAACGCGTTCTTAGAACACATATTTATCTATTTCCTTTGACACGACTTAATTTAGACTCAAACCCATGATCTCCGGGTTCATAACATACACATAAACCAAAAGGCAGCATAACCCATAATTTAACAAATATGAGCCGCGCCATATGGAAAAACCAACATAGTACATTTGCGACCTGCATGGACCCAGATCAGCCTGCGCATCCAAGCAGGCTGGTCAGAACTATGCTGTTCGCTATCAGTTTCTCTACTTGTAAAACGGTTTGTAAGTCCTGATCATACTGCGCGGATGCACATGCTGGTCTGGATCCATGCTGGTCGCAAACGCACACTATTGGTTTTGTCATGGCGCAGTTCATATATTGGTAACCGAAGTATTATAGTAACATCATCAGGACATATATTAATATAACCATTGACATATAAAGCATTGCGACTAGAAAAGGTTACCAAAGGAAAAATGACACACGGATAACAAGTAAAAGAGGGGATGTACATTTAATTTCAGAACTTACATCTAACCGCAACATTTTTGTATCTTTATCTTGAAAATTAGTTTTACTGGAGAGGAATTGATATAAGTATTGTTTAACTAATTTTCCAATCCAGTCTGAATTACATTGTTGTGAAATGTTTGTAAATGTCATTTTATGTACAAGTTATTAAATAAATAAAGTTTAAACTAAATTTCCTCCTCTGAATTCGGTTGACATCTTTAATGTTCATTTGTTACAAATGTCTTGTTTTTGACGAAAGATTTCAAAATGTGTTATTTAAGCATTATATTTTTGGGAAAAAAGCACGTGTTTGTATCAGGTCAATAACCATTTATTGACACATTAATTAGGAAGTCTTCCCAGATGTTAATAACAATATCATCAAATAAGTTTCTTCTTCTGTTTTTCATTACCGGTTCGAATTACTGACGTCTATGCAATTATTAGCTCCAGCAAGTAAGGTGTTTTTGACCCCGGTGATTTTTCATCTTTCATGTTTCGGCGCCATATGCCATGCATTATGTTAATAATAATTCAAAGTATATAATATAAAAAATATAACAAACATGTATTTTAAACAATAATTGTCTTTTATCAATACTTACTTTCTTCACACCATTTACATTTGATTGACGATATAACTTGAGTTTCAATAATATCACGTCAAAAGAAATAGATAAATTCATGTTCACAACCACTTAAAATTACAAGAACTGAACAGTACTAAACAATTTTCTGTTGTAAATGACTTTCAATATTGACTTTGTGTTTTGCTTGTAATTTTGAACGTTTTGGTGATTTAGATAAATCATGTATAAAAGATATTAAAACATATGTTACTCAAAGGCAATACTCATAAATAATGTAAGGTTAAAATCCTTTTAAATTGACGAATCACCTGTCGGTTACAATTTGTTTAAATGATGTTCTGACAGATATTAAGCTTGAAAATTAAGGACTTTTGTAAATAGTGTAGGTTATGTTTATTATAATTGTTAAGGTAGCACTGCACACTAAATTTCAAGTTTCTGCCATCAATGGCCTACAAGCAATATGTCTGATCAATCAGAACATGGAAAAAGAAAACACATTTTGTTAAGAACATATATGTCATAACATTGCAAATCTGTAATGAAATCATCCCATGTGCAATAGTCAGGCAGTTAAAAAAATCCAATTAATTCCGTAAAAGCCAAAAATCTAAAGTGGTCCGAGACCCAAAACAACATTTTTCGTCCCTCCGGCAAAAAAAAACCCTGCAAATATACGGGCTACAGAAACTCTGTCACTGCTTTAGCAACTCCCAATACATGAAAAATATCACAAAGAAATAGGTGCTTGGCCTTGTAGATTTTTTGCTATTGCTGAAAGTTTGTACCCCCTGTAAAATTACTTGTTTTCACCGAGCATGCTGTTTGAAAGCAATGTTTACAAACAATGGCGGCCTTGACATCTATAACTATCAGGATGTGATTTCTAACCATGTTTTCGAATTTACCAATGATCATATTACATGTCACAAAAACAGAGTTCATGCTGAAAATGCATTTTAAAGACAACCAGTCATTTAAGTCCACAATAGTCACTACATGTATATCCATGAAATCCTCCCTGGCCATTCGAAGCTGTGGCTTCATTTAGTGTGGTGTATTGCCTAAATAGGAACACATCTACTTAGAACTGTTCATAAACATATTGGTGTGATGTCTTCATATTATCTTTAACAGCAGTTAAATTTAACTGAAAGTCCAAACCAGTTGTGCGGTTTTATGCGCAGACTGTGTGCTAGATAGTCAATCATGTCCACTTGATTAAAAATAAACAAAATAAACAACCATATTGGTATAATAATTGATAGAACTTAGTGGAATCCCAAGGATATGATAATATGAACGAGATTTAGGGTTGTTGTTATTTTCGCATAAATGGAGGAAAACTAATTTGAATAAAATGGAGACAAATGTTGTTTACGATAATAAAGCCTTGAGCTGATGGTTAAGCTTTTTTGTACTCCGCTTCTAAATGGCTTACTTTAGGCCGATATGTCCTGTGACACATTTAAACTCTCATAATTAAGTAAATATAGGTTGAGGAACTTTGCTGGCTATCAAACTTGGTCCCGATGGGAGGATTGTATTCTAATTCACATTTTGATGCTTGTTTATGTCCCTTAGAAGAAATTAAATGATGTCATCTATTTTGGTCATTTTATCTTATCTTATTTAAAAGGCGTGAGCCTTCAGCCAGTTTCTGTTTCTTATTCAAGGTATAAGATATATGAATGACAATGCTATTTAAACTTTACTTTATAAAACTTTACAATACTCATGACGCAAATATCTAAAAAAAAATCACCAATTTGTTTAATAAAATAGTGTAAAATATAAGAAAAGAATGGTTTTTTTTAGTTGAAACAAGTATGTTGCAGATTTGAAGAAAGAGGAACAGGCCATATTTGTCATCTATTAGTGATGTATCAATAGGGCATCCTGAGATCTTCATAATTATAACAATTATCTAGATACAATTCCGAACATTTTATCAAAAAAGTAAGGTTTACCACCCAGATTTGGATATATATATTTATAAATCCTACCCTATTTTCATTTGTTTAACTTTAAGAATTTCCA